AATTAGCCGAGCTCTTTTTTTGCGATTTTTTTTTGAAGCTGGCCTGTCTAAATATCGTAAATACATACATACAATTGCATACATTTCAGCTAAGATAGCATTGGCCACATAGTCACGTTACAAACAATTAATCGGTGCTTAAGAACACACACACAAAAAAAAAGGATTCAGAAAAAACTGATAGAGAATATAGGTTTCGTAGCGTGACAACACCTCGACCTTAAAAGACTAGTCACTTGGCAATAACGACAGTCAAAGTACTTAGAGAAAAGAAACTCACTGGTGCCGACTCGCACAGACGATAGTAGAGAGTATCGCTAATAGTAGTCAAATGGTAGCCGGTAGCTTGTAGCTGATTAATCCTTCGATCGTAACGGTTGCGGAGTAACTAGCTAGTACGGTTATTACGAGTTGCATTTAAAAACACGCGCATACGTGATTGTATCTGGGGCGTTACTTGAAAAGTGTAACCCTACATTTTTGAGGTGTTATTTCATTTCCTAAAAACACGAATTTAGCTTCAAGAAAGCATGAATCTGCAAATTCCTAATCAATGCGTGGTACATTTAAGCACGTTTGATTGAAACTAGAGCTATCGATTGTTACTGGAAAATTTCGTAGAAGCAGGAGGCGTTTTAAAACTAACATTCCGGCCCCTTAAAGGCAATAGTGCCTTTACCAAATAACTGTAATAGGTTTGAAACGCCAACTCTGATGATTATTTAACCACTACTAATCATATTTACTTGGATAATGTTCTTAGCTTCTAATCCTTGCTCCCAATTTCCGCAGTTTTCAATAGGACAATCTTATCTATGGGTCGCACTAGTTCGGAGGTTCTGGTCTTGACTTTAGCAGAGCGCACTAGCCCATCCTTCCGATTGTGGTAAACTTCGAGCACTCGTCCAAGCGGCCATACGCTACGTGGCTGATTTTCGTCTAGTAGCAGGACGATGTCATCAACAGCTAAGTTGAAGTGTAGCTTGTTCCATCTTTGGCGTTGCTGTAGGGATGGAAGATATTCTCTAGTCCAGCGGCCATTCCTAATGCCTTCGTACGGTCAATGTAGCTAGGTGGAGGTTTGAGATTTTCCCTTAGCAGCCGAATGGTCCAGTGTATTAAGTCTTTAATTAGATGGCCCACCGTAGGCGGCCCAAATGTATCGTGTGTGATTTGGGGGTCTAAAGGTCATTATAAACATAAGTCACGTGAAGCGAGCGCTCGGATTGGTCAGTTCAGTGCCCATGGGTGGACGCTGCTGACGTAAGCAAATGTTTTCAGGTAAGGAAAATGTTTCGCACGAAATTGTCTTTTTCATGTTATAAAACAAGTGGTAAAAACAAAAGCTAACACTATTGAGTTTTGGATGCACTTGGGAGGCTGGCTAAGCACTCGATGAGCTAGAATCACCCGAAGTGATACGCTTCCTTAGTGCTTCGCAACCTCACGGGTGTATTCATATCTCATTAGTGTATGCTGTGCTGTTTATAATTATAAATCTGCAAGAATACTTAACATATTAAGATTGAATTTTTAAGCGCAAGCGCGTGCGTTAGAATAGGAAAAATTATATAAACAATAAAAAAAGGATAATAAAAGCATGGAATATAACGTGTTAAGTCTCCTAACCTTAATTCTATGGTCTCCTTTTCGCTCACGGTCATTTTAACGTTCTTTGGTGACTGTCTTCGTACTGCGTATTGTGCTACAACACTAAGGAGACTTAACACTTTATATTCCTCGCTTTTATCATCCTTTTGATTTCTATTTTTTCTATTTATAATTTTCCATTCTTTAACAGCACACTCGTACGCTCAAAACTAAACCTTTATCTGTTAAGTATTCTCGTTAATGACCTTCGCGGCAACATAAATTTTATGGGGCATTTTTTTCCAATTTGTGAAAATTGCGCAAAGCTGCGCTCCAGAATAAACCCTGAATTCAGCTCCTTGGATCGCTTTTTACTACAATTTGCGGTTAAAAAATTGCGTAGGTTTTTGTTAGAATAATTCGAAAATTCTAGGAAAATGGGAAAATGTAAGTTTTTTGAAGATAAAATATTTAGTACTTTTAGGAGATATTAGCACTCAAAAATGATATCAACCCTCCAAAAAACCATTCGGAAGCAAAAAACTGACATATTTCTTGCATTTATGAGACGCGTGTGGCAGATTTACCTTCCTTGAATTGTTATTTTCTGTACTTAATTACCAAAAATTGCGTAGCTTTGAGTTGAAAATTTTGAAAGTTACGATTTCTAAATAAAATCTTCTATTGAATAACACTTTTGGGACATATCAACACTTCAAAATAACATTTTCCGTTCTAATGTAGAGTCCCCAATGTCGCAAAGCCTCGGTTGAAGTACCGTCTGGTCAACTCCAAAACTAATTTCGTCGCTTCAAAGGGCTTCATGCTCATTGCTTTTCTAAACTAGTATTATCTA